CGCGTTTCATATGATATATCATTCCGTAATAATCAAGTATTTCTCCGATTGTGAAGTAATCAAATAACGCCAACTCCTGAGGCATATACCCGACACCCGGTCCGGGAATACCCAAACCTGCAGATCCTGCCATTTTGCCAAACACCTCAATTGTGCCTGATGTCAATCTTAATTGTCCTAATATTACACGCATTAATGTGGTCTTTCCGGTTCCGTTTGGACCTAACATTGCAAATATTTTACCTGTAATTGAAATATAATATTTGTTAAAATATAATATTCTTATACAATATCAGCATTATATTAAATATCTTGCTTACCTTTTGGTATTTGCACCGTTAAGTGATCAAGAATTACATTATTAATATTATAACCAAATACGGCATTTTGTATATTCAGAGCCATGTTAATCTTGAAATATTTATTACGATTTAAAGTTATTAGCAAAATATATTTAAATATTTTTAATATAAAGAATTATGTTAAACTAATATAATGGCTATCGTCTATAAATTTACATTATTATAATTATATTAAATTATTTTTATATTGTTAAAAACATTATAACTTTTGAATAAGTTTTTTAGTTAACAAATAATTGTACATTAACCAATTACCTTCACATTTTTATTTTTTAAACCTAACAAATTGACTGTTGAGAGAGAGAGAGAGAGAGAGAGAAAGAGAAGGCATACAAGTAATACCACATCACTTAATACCATCGATACATAAATACAAATAAATGAAATATATGTGGCATTTCTCTCCTCTATTTNGAGAGAGAGAGAGAGAGAGAGAGAGAGAGAGAGAGAGAGAGAGAGAGAGAGTAGATTGTAAATAATATTATAAATTCAAACATATATTTTAAATTCTTATTTGTCTTAATTTATAATTATTATAATTATATTATATTAATAACATGTTTCAACGACTATCATTAGTACCCGTATATAAAAGCCTAAAAACTTAAATTTTAATAAATTATAAACTACATTTACTATTTAAAGTAATGACGTTGCCAACAATTAAAATAAACATATATGTAATCTATTATGCTAAATATATTTATATATAACTTATATTTAAGATATTAATACGCAATGATTTAGAGATTACCCTATTGTATACCCTATTTTAAAATTTGTAAAATCTTAATGGTAAAAGAATTAAATGAGTATAACAACCAATTTTATATTATACAATTTATAAAAAGTAATTAATTATAAATTATATTTTATTTACATTTTAACAAACTGTAAACATTTACTTAAATATAATTTACAATAATTATAAAACCAATTGATGTTTTATACTGGCGATACATTAACAAAACTAATTTTTGTACTTTAATCTAGAAATATCTGTATTAAAACAAATTAAAGAAACTTAATGTTTAATTTTAAATAAATTATAAATTATATAAATTATATTATAGCGTATAGTTTATGGCAGAGTGTCTCATTAATGAGTGTATGATTTTACAAACATAACTTATATTGTAAACTTTATCTTTACAATGTAAAGAGTATGCCTAAATGGTCACCCTAGAAACGGCCACCCTAGAAATGGCCGCGATTGTTTTTCCCTGGTAATTTGTAACGCATTATCTGCTATGGCATATACTAAAGGG